AGAGGAAAATGGTATGCAGTAGCAGTGGCATTAGAAGTTCGAGTTACAGAGCTAAATAAATATTATCTTAGCCGATAAATAACGGTAGTTTAACCGATAGTTGACAAATAATAATTTAACTAATAAATGATAATAAATCTTATTTAACAAGTATATTAGTTAATAGTATCGAGTAATTGGAATAAAACAAAATTTGACTACGGCTTACGGAAGATCGTTCGATGAAAGAAAAGAGAAGGAGGAAAATGGTAGAAGTATAAAGTAAAAGAATAAGTATCCTAAAAGTATACGTAAGATGGAAATTATGGGATTGATTTGGGAAATACGAAATATCTCGCGCAAAGTTAAGCTGTAGACACGTTACATCTTTCGTTGAGATGTCGGAGGTGCGATTAATTCTTTCGTCAGGATCCGTGCAGAGTAAATTCGTGCGTGGTTACACGATAATTTAGGTGAATGTGTATGTACGGGTATTGGCTGATTGCGCTTGTGAGCTCGTCCGGAATAAAGGCGGGCCGTTCTTAAAGAACTCGCGCGTCTGTAAATTATGTAGCCCGACAACGTCAATCTACTTTCACGCTTTCTCGTCGTTTATCCCTTTCCCCTGGATGGATGTTCTACAAAATACTTCACTACCTACTTTGCATGGGAACACGTCCGCAGTGATGCATTTCATTTTTCTGTTCGCAGCTGGCTCGAACGGAGGATGTGGAGGTAGTGGAGGCAATCCCGGGCGAGGATAACCGAAACGATAACTCAGCGCTGAATCGACAAGACAACGACATAAATAGTTCGGACCAATTGGCGTTAGAATCGTTAGGCGAGAAGGATGCCGGCGGTAATCACTATAAACCGGGTGGTCTTCGAGGCCATCCCCTGCCGCTTCCGCCGAGTCGAGGTGGCCTGGGACTGCCGCATCCGCGACCGCACCATAACGTCGCATATCATGGGCCACCGCCACCTTTACCGCCATCCAAGACGTCATCGGAGGCCATTGACAAGATCTACACAACGGGTGGTGGGATTAGTACAGCGGTAGGTGCAGAACCCTGGCCGGCACCCACGCCAGATATGCCGAAGATCATTTCTTTAGACGTGAAATGCGAGAAAAATCTGATGAAAGTTTATCTCGGCTTTGACAAACCGTTCTACGGTATAGTCTTCAGCAAAGGCCACTACAGTAACGTTAATTGTGTGCACTTACCAGCAGGTTTAGGGCGCACATCGGTTAACTTCGACATTAGTATTCACGCGTGTGGCACAGCTGGGAATACAGAGAATGGTTTATATGGGTACGGCGCTGAATCCGGGTCAGGAACGTACTTTGAAAACATTATCGTGGTGCAATACGATCCTCAAGTTCAGGAAGTTTGGGATCAGGCGCGTAAGCTACGGTGTACTTGGCACGACTTGTACGAGAAATCTGTTACCTTCCGTCCGTTTCCCGTCGACATGTTGGACGTGGTGCGGGCTGACTTCGCCGGTGATAACGTTGGTTGTTGGATGCAAATACAGGTCGGAAAGGGCCCATGGGCGTCGGAGGTCTCCGGTCTGGTAAAGATCGGTCAAACGATGACGATGGTACTCGCGATAAAAGACGACGATTCCAAGTTCGATATGCTCGTGAGAAACTGCATGGCTCACGATGGCAAGCGAGCGCCGATCCAGCTGGTCGACCAGAGAGGTTGCATTACCAGGCCAAAGCTCATGTCCCGGTTCACCAAGATTAAGAACTTCGGCGCGTCCGCATCGGTCCTTTCCTACGCTCATTTTCAGGCATTCAAGTTCCCGGACTCGATGGAGGTGCATTTCCAATGCACCATACAGATATGCAGATACCAGTGTCCAGAGCAGTGCTCCGAGTCTCCTCTGCTGTTGGAGTCTCAGGGTCTCCTGGAGAACCATCATCATCCTCCGTCCAATGGGCATCCCGATTCCAGCTACGGTCTTCCGCCACCTATCCCACTCCCCCTGGAAGCTTATTTGCAGGCGGCTGCTGGTCGTCCTCGGGACGAAAGACGGAGAAAATCTCGAGAGATAATGCCGGCGCCTCAGAAGGCTGTCGGCGTGAATCGCATAATACGAGTAGTCTCTACAGGTGACTTTTCTATCGACGAGTCCAACAATGGCGAATCTAGCGGGTCCACCATGGTCTTTCCCGTACGTAACGAGAACACCGCGAACGCTGCTATGATTTGCATGACCACTCCAGGTTTCGTCGTCACGCTCATAGTGCTTCTTGCCGTCTTGCTCTTCTCCTGCATACTTTCCATCTACCTCTGTCTACACCTAAGACCGTTCTTAGGCAAAGCTAGGAAGGCTGCGACGTATTATAACGGAGAACAAAGCATACCTAAAAAGTCGATCAGGACGTACTTCTACTCCTAGGTAGAAACGCTCGTGGCACGTTCAATGGCCGCTCGTTGCCGATCGTCTTTACTTTTGCGTAGAGAACCCTCGTATCAAGCGGGTTTCTTCCTCGAGACTGGTTTCACGATTTTCGTAGTTATGAATTATTTATCGAAGCAAATATCACGGCTGACGAATCACGGTTCGTCGTGTCGAAAGTAGATGCGCATCGTTATTTAACCTACTTCGATACGGAATTGCTCAATAAACCAGTTGCCGGATCCTCTATACCGCACGAGGTATACGTCCCGGTGACTTACTCGATAGTTCTTATTTCGTATTTATTTTCAGACCGATCCAGACCGTTCGGAGAAAATTTTTAACTTCCATCTATTGGATGTCGCGCAAACCGGTCCTCTTGGTCGCGCCATTACAGGTATCGTAGAGGCTACAGAATGTCGCAAGCACGATTCTGTATACCGACACGTATCGGACAGAGTATCGTTTGTATTAAAATAAATAAGGATGCTCTCTGCTACGTGTACCGCATCTGTTCGAGCAGAACGATCGAGTAATATGGATTTGTGCTTCGTCATGATGAATCTTACGCTCAAGCCCTAGCTGGCGACTGTGTGTAGACACTTGGAAAAATTTAGTCAAAGATAATCAAACATTTTGCCCACGCGACTTCCTCGTTACAATTATATCGGGACCACGGTGTATTTGGGTATTTCCTTTTCTTTTTAATTTATCCTTGCTTCTCGCGTATCGACAACGCGTCACTCGATACGACCAAGGCTGAAGCATCGCGAGAAATAAAACCTACGAGATAGTCTATGTTTCAGAGAAGATCCTCCCTTTTCTCTCTTCTTCGCAACATCCTTTTCACAATATTATCGTTTTAATATTATTTATTTATTAAGTAACAACGTTCCAAATTTCTCCGACTTTGTACGCTGTACCACGTGCACTTGTAACCGTGTAAGAGCCAGTCACTATCGCGAAACTATTAAAAGATGTTATCTCGGTTTTAATAAATCTATCTTTAGGGTAACATTGAATGCAAATGTTTCGCTTCAGTGAAGCGGACAATTTTCTACCTTTAGTTTGTATACGCGCTGCCATGTAACGGAGATTCTTATCGTATCTGAATAGCATATCTTTGCCTAATGGAAAATGTCATATTCCAAGTTCCAGTAAAACGTCGATTATCTTCCGAAGGTATATTTTCACGATTTTTCGTCAAAGTCGAGTGAATATTCAATTTTCGGAAATACTTGTCGAATAAAAGAGCGCGTAATAGCGAAATGTTAGAAACGGATAGAGCGTTTCTGGGTATAAATAAATTTCGCATTTCTCCTGAAATAAATATCCGAAGGGCATCGATTTCCTCTCGTATTTTCATTCGTCTCGATATTACATAAATATCCAACGTGTACGTACGAAGAGATACCTATTTATTTATTATATACGATAAATTTATTATATATAATAAACAAATATCTGTCTAAATAGATTATCTTGTTATCCATGCATTGAAATAGACGCATAAAAATGAAAATAAACGAAACAACGTCATCTTCGTCTACGATATGTATACTCTAATTATTTTTTGGACATTGACATCGTGAATGATTAGTTTAAATTTAATCTTCCTTGTCGTTTAAGCGTTGCATAATTTATTCCAAGCTTACTCGAGAATAGCGAATGGTCGTTTAAAAGATACGTTAAAATTAGAACGTAGACGCGTATTTTAAAATATAAATAGTGCCAGTACGCGACTCGCGGTGCTACAAGTACGTGACTCATTGTATCCCGATAATAATTGGTCTCGTGTAATAATCTGCGATCCCGATAATCGACGTTTTACTGTAAACAGGAAACCAAAACGTGTACAATCGTAGAGAATAAATAACGGATAATCCGGTTCCACGATAAACTTTAACCTTCCACGCAGGAAAAATTCGATGAAATAATTATCGACGATGATTACGCGAGCGAAAGAATGAAAGATACAAAAATTTACACGAAATGTTAAGATCGAATGTATAAAGGAATAGTCAGTAGCTTGTAACAGCATACGAAAGATTATGATATAATATTTAATATTAACGTAAGCACGTAGGTATAAAGATGTTTATAAATTATTGTTTCCTCGGCGAGATAATGTATTTTTACAGGAATATTATTATTTGAACTTTTGTATATGAATAAATGTATAATTATATTTAATAGCCTTTTTACATCAATATTCTCACGCGACTAGCGAATTCCCTAGCGAGCTAGGGGAATTTGAAATCGACTGCTGTTTCGTATTACCGTTTTGTAACGTCTGAAATTGTTTTCGTTTGGGGAAATAAAAAGAAGAGGCACAGGGGGAGAGTGATCGGTTGGTTTTGTGGAAATAGATCAAGGTCCTGTAAATACATTTATTGGCATTACCATTGATTTATGTTAAATAAAAACACAACCTCTCGATTAACAACCTACCTAACTCCGTTTCCTTTCGCTCCAAGTATTATAGTAGTTGTCCAATATGGCGCGTGGCCGCGCTTATAATTGGTGATTGTCGTACCCACTTTAACGATTCTCTTTCTCTCCAAGCGTACGAGAATATTCTCTCTCTCTCTCTCTCTCTCTCTCTCTCTTGTTTTTTACACGTGTATACATATACTCATAATTCGTAAGATAACCTAACGCGATACAATTGTTCTGGCGATTTGCAAAACGTTTGGACGAGTAAGTAAATAAAATGTAACTATCCAAACACCGTATCGTTAATTAATCTGTTCCTAGGGGAAGAAAAAAGACAAACATTTTCATTTTTTATTACAAAGACGGAAGTGAAAGGGATACGTGGTATGTAAACGACGATGAAGGGACGACGAGGAGACCTCGCTTTCCTCTGCATACGTACAACTTTCGCTTTCTGCTTTCGTGCTTGCAACGAGTGCTTTTCGAGTGAAAAGCCCTTTTCGCGACAGAGCTTCCCAGATATACGCACCTTATTTATATGTATAATTACGTATACGTGGTATTTCAAGCTCAGCGAATACAGAATCCTGTTCAAATGTCTTCCTGGACATTCTAAATCCGTGTTGCGTTTCATAGATTTTTAAATAACCTCGCCTCTACCATGCAGTCGCCTATTCGAGAAGCCTGAGAGGGCGATCGGTTTTTCGTGAGATTTCGTTAACCTTCGGTTGACACTGAACAAAAGAGGAATCGAACAAAAGCAGAAAATGTCATGATATAATATATGTATTTCTTCAAGGTAAAATTATATCGATTCCACTACGTCTAATATGCTTCGTTCGAGTGTCGACGAAAGGTTAGACGCATCGAGGCGTTCGCTAAAGTACATCGAATTTTCGTATTACTCTAACGTAACAATATAAATATTTGAAAACAGAGAAGAATTTGAGCTTAGCATCTTTCAATTTCCCTGAAAATATTCGCGATATCGCTCCTATTTTCAGTTAGCTGTTATTCTCAGCCTCTTTAGGGCTAATTCTAGAGGTGCTGTTATTACCAAGTTTCCGCCGAGCGCCGCCAGTTGGCGCGACCGTCGACGAATAATTCGATATACACGAAATTTCAATGGTGGCTCAACGCATCGAACTAAATAGCATCTTTCGTGTATTATATTCGAAGAAACGAGTAATCGCTAGTTTCGTTATCGCTGTCCTTTTACACGCAAACGAATACAATTATATAATTTGATTTATTTATCGTAACACAAACATACTCTAATATTGCGATAGGTTTTAAAACTCTGACATACCTTATTGACAAGGAATTAAGTTTCGTATATAAAAATAGGTTAGAATGCGTGCCTAAATAGAATAACTTACGTAGTTGCTAGATATGGATAATTTTATACAAATGTAATTTAAATATTATTTTATTTAAAGATACAAATAGGAAAAGCGTTATTGCTAACCACGATACACGAGTATGTAGAAATAATTAACAGTTAAATTGACATTAAACTTTTGTAATGGTCGAAAATATACTTTTTCCTATTATGTACAATATTTATTATTATTTGTCAATGACGAATGTCAGAAGTGTCGATTTCTAAGCGAAATATTTGATATAGAAATTGAAAAGCTATATATAGCGTACAGTAGCGACTTGCACATCGACGTGTGATATTAATTTTTATTATATCGCCGTTCGACTTTTATTATAGTCGTGCAAACGTATACTCATTAGCAGCACCTCTAGGGAATTCGTCATTAAATAGATAACAGACGCGCAGGCGTGACATGCTACAGGACACGTCACGACATCCGTACAAAAGAATAAATCTTATAAATCGCATTAGTTCGTATTCTACAGACTCATAGAAGATATTAAAATACGCACCTTTTGATTCATGAATTACCTAAGGGAAAAGACACGTATCGAAAGCAGTATCGTTTTTCTTCCCTATCGTATTTGATTCGATTACATCGATCAAAGAAAACAATCTTTCCTAACAATATCATTCGCAATGCCAAAGGTGAAACGTTATTTTTACAATATTCACAGCGAGTGCTGCCACATTGTCCTCTGGAGGGCCACCATATCCCTCTTGCGAGTTTCGTTAAATTCATTCTATAGCGAATATATTGTGCGTGATTATGCTCCTTACTTACCCAATACCAATAATTGCCTCTCGAAAATAATCATTTAGTAATGCTTTCGTTTGCAGGATTCTTCGTGAGAGAAGAAGAAGAAGAAGAAGAAGAAGGAGACGAAGAAAAGGAAGAAACAGAGGGAAGAAGTAGAAGGAAACGAAGGGAAAGGGAAAAATGAAGGTTCCGATGGAAATGTATGGGAAAAAAAAAAAATGTCCGTCACAGAGGGAGCTTGGCTTGATTTTAAAGCACACCCGGTGAATGGTCTGGAAGGGAACACGATGGTCTCGGAATCATTCGTAAGAAGAAACTGTCGCACGTGATTTGACGCACTTAAAATACTTTGTACAGCGTATTATTGCACATTGTCTTTCGTGGAGCGTACACAGCCGCGTCCCACTAGCGACACAAAAGTCACGAATCGTCAACCTCTCTCGACCGAGGGACTCGTGGCGACTGGATTCGTTTGTTTTTGTTGAATTTGTTCCGGATGAGCTGGTCTCGTTGTGCACCGTACGCGCAGCAACCCGTAAGGCAGCCAGCCGTTGGTCGAGTGCACTGCTCTATTGTTCTTTCTGCTGTCGGCCGCCTCGCGTTGCGCTTGCAATCGATGCAACATCGCGCCGGCGACAAGCGCGGAAATGACTGCAGAAAGCGCCACGACGATAAACAGCGCGCTGAAACCGGGCATGGGCAGGCAGATACCATAAACTACTTCCTCGCGTATTCTACCTTGAAAGACCGTTACTGCTTCCGCATGAGTGTCCGGGCTAAAGGCTAGATCAGCTTCCGAGATCACCTCGTACAAACCGCTCACACCGACGTCAGCGCTACGGATTTTCCTATCCGACACCACGACCGATCTCTTTCGTCTGCCATTCGGAGACGAGAGAGGTGTCACTGGTATCGCGCCGCTGTCTCCCTCGAGATTCCGGGGACCGTGAGGGAATTGATCTTGCTCGCTCTCGTATCGCGTCACCCGCGGTGGATCCTGAAGACAAGCGTACAAATTTTAGAAGCAGCTCCACTAAAAATTCTAATTCTACATTTCCATTAGAACAAAGGAATCTCTCGACTTTTCTCAACGACTTTTTCTCAATAACGCTATACTACGCTACTGGACCCAAAGACAGCATCGTTCTTCGAACATCGCAGCAGGACATGTCCTCGTACCTTTGAGTCCACTAACGAGCCAATCACCCTGTATATTTTGTACAGGTTATGCGGTGTATAATCGCTTTACACATATATCGTTATCGATCGATTCCTTTCTTTTTTAGTTTTATTTTAAAGCATGAGATTAGATATGGACGGAACTTGATTGGATGAAGGTGCACGGGATAAGATTACGCGCGTAAACCATTTCATCGAAAGTAAGACTGAAATTAATAAATAAATAAAGTAGGAGAATGCGGATAGACTGTGAAAGATAAGTAAGGAAAAGTATTTACTACGAATGGCCTCGAAAGATCGGCGTCGTCCAAGTGAACTTCTTCGTTAGGTGCCTCGACTACTGGCGCCGGTAGCCGGTTACTCGTCTGCGCTTGCGCTTTAGGCACCGACTTTTCGACCCCCAAGAAGTGACCCCCTATCGAGGTCATCTCGTCACCATCTTGAATGATGTCGTCGTAAAGGGAACCATCAGCTTGCTCGGCTCCACCTCCGATGTTTTCGTTATTCTTGTCGGCACTGTTGTCGTCATCGTTGTGAACGGTGGGCGGCGCTGTGGTCTGCGGGTACTGCGGTCGTATCTGATCCTTGCGTTCTTGAATGTAGTGGCCGACGGATCCGCTGAGTTGACAGTGATCCAAACATCCGTGACGACAGATCTCAACCTTGACATTGATCAAAACAACTTATCGCTTTGATGTCCCTCTCGGTCATCCTTTCTTTTTCTTCTAAATACAAATTTGCATAACGAACAGTCGAGTCATTTAACGTTCATTGTCGTTTGCCAAGTAAATTCGCTAAGCCGCTCTTTCAGATGTTTGATCCTAAATATTTGCTCTTTACATTCGCGAACACCTCTCCGAGCTAACAGAAGCTGTACTAAAGTACCCCTGACCGCGTGTAATAATATTTTCAGTTGCCGCTAATCCTGTTTTCGATTGCAAGCTGTTTTATCCGCTGTATATTACCCAACATCGTTTACCTTGCACTTGATGTGCACGCTCAACGCGTCCGGGAACTTGAACGCGTGGAAGAAGGCGTAAGTGATGACCGTTGCCCGATCGTCTGAGCCCCGCGCTTTCAAGAATCGACTGATCATCTTCGGCCTGAGTACGCATCCGAACTCGTCGCTCAGCTGTATCGTGTGTCCACCGCCATCAGAGGCCACGCACGACTTCACGCGCATGTCGAATTCCCCTGTGTCGAATTAATTAGCAAATTTGTCATTAACGAATAATCGTTTCGAGTATTCCTCGACTATGCTTTATCATTCGCGAGTGTTGGCGAACGTTGGCAAAGTTGCACGGTTCGCGTTCGCTCGTTACCTCGATAATCGTTTATGGCGACGACCAGGGTGAGGGTAGAGCCGAGTGGTACTATTCCGGAAACCGGAGGTGCCCATGGTCCCTTGCCGTGTTGAATTTCCATCCAACAATCCACGTTGTCGCCTGCAATACCGATAAAATAGCATACTTGTATTTGTCCTTCGATTTCCAGCCAGTCCGTTGGCCACTCTCTAGGCACAAGGTGCCAGGTGCGATTTATACGTGTCGCATAAAGCGAAGTTAAGTGGCGCGGCTGCGGTTCTACCTGTGGTCAACCGCTGCTACACGAGTTATCGTGCACGGTGCGACCATTTACCTCGTATTAAACTCTTTGCACGGCAGGATCATCGTTCCTTCTATCAGCTACGTGTCCGTAGACTCGCGTGTGGTTCAAACGTGACTGACACCGAATCCCGCCAACTCCAACTCCATTGAACTTTCCAGTCGTTGATTGAATTTTCAACGCTCCCGGAAATTAGCATACCGGTTGTATCGAGATATCGAGATCGCGATGATAAGATTTATTACATCGGTGTTTGGACGAATGTCGAGAGATTTGGAGATCGTTAAGAGTCGCTGATATGCTAAATATGGATACTCGCGTGTGCGTGTGTGCGCGCGTGTGTGTGTGTTCGTGTGTAAGATAAAAAGCTATACCTCTGAAGTCTAACTGTATTACGTCAAGATCTGCGATCACCATCGGCGGTTTCGAAGCGGTCTTTTCGTAATCGTTGAACCATTCGCATCGCAGTCGTTTGGCCTCGTCCCAGACCTCGAGTAAATCTTTGTCGTACTGAACGACAACGGTATTCTCGTAGAACTGTCCATGCATATCTGGTTTGGTACCGCATCTGCGATCAGACGAACAACATCCAGGCTGAATATTAATTTACCAATACATTAACTGTCGGGATATTTTAAGCTCGGCGCTTCGATTTTTCATACTTTCATGCCAAACGTAACGTTTATCCACGGCTATCATTTTTACCTTGTCGCAATGAGCAACGGGATTCTCCTAGGACCGTGCATGCATAGACGCACCGAATTTGGATTGACTGATAATTTACGTTAATTTGCGTAATATTTCACATTTCGTACTTCCACTTTCCACGTTCTCATGCCAAAAATGATATTTATGGATAGTTACGATTTTTACTCTGTCGTACCGAACGACGGTACCCTCGTAAAACTGTTCATGCATGGATAGACCAAATCCAAATTGAATATTAATTTATGGATGCATTAAACGTAGAAATATTTTAAACTTGACAGTTCCAGCTTTGTATTTTCATGCAAGGCACGATTTTTATTAACAGCCATGATTTTTACTTTCTTCTTGCGAACAACGGTATTCTTGTAGAATTATTCATGCATATCTGGCTTGGTACCGTATTCACGATTAGACCAGTGTTTCCCAACGTGGGTCATACATCCTATGATAAAGCAATTTTGAATATCTTGGTGATAATTAGAAATCTTCGAATTACTCTTTTCGTCTATTTCATCGTTTATATGATGCAGACAAAAATTGAAAGTAATCCAAAAAATAAGAACTGTTGCTTAAAGTGTTTGCATATTTCTTTGTATTCAATGGTCACATGCGACAAGAAACTGTTGCACATCAACGTGCAATTGAAATTCTTAGTCCAGTAATCGATAATATAAAATTATATTGAAATTAAAAGCAGCTTTACATATACTTCCTTTTTCTTCCTTTAAAATATTTATTTACATTGTACTTTCTCGAAAGTATAGTTTAATTACCCTATTATACTGAGAAAGAAACAATCAAATATTCGAGGTGTTGAGGTAAAATGTGATTCAAATATCGCTGGGAAACATTGGATCAGACGAATTAAATCTAGGCTAAATGTCAATTTACTGATATATTAATCACCGAAATATTTAGATTTAACGTTTCGATTTTTCATTATGATAAATACAACATTTAACCATAGTTATGATTTTTACTTTCTGGAACTGAATGACAACCGTTTCCATAGGCCCCCATATCTGGTTAGTACTGCATCTGCGATCAGATATACAAAGTCTAGGCTGAATATCAATGTGTACTAATGCATTAGCTATGGAAACATTTGCACGTTGTATTTTAATTTTCTGTTGGAGTACGATATTTATCGATAGCCATGATTTTCACTTCGTACTGCATACTAACTATATTTTACACTTTTATTTCTCGTATTTTTGTGTTCAAAATAATATTTATTTCTAGCTACGATTTTTATTTTCTCGTACCGAATGACAACGATGTTAGCATCGTAGTGATCTATGACCAGACAAATAAAATTCGAATTAAACGTTAGTTAACTAATACGTTAATTAAATTTAACGCTTCAACTTTTTCATATCTTCCTGTTGAATGTAATATTTATTTATAACTTTAATTTTTACTTTATCGTACCGAATAGCAACGATTGTCTCATAAACTTACGCGTGCATATATGGCTTGGTACCATATCTATGATCAAATGAACAAAATCCAAACTGAATATCATTTTAGCAATACAGGAATTAAATTTGGTACCTTAATTTTTTATATTTTCCTGAAAACTGTAATATGTATCCATAGCTATGATTTTCACTTTTGTTGGATTGAACTATAACGATATTTTCGTAGTACTATTATGTTATTGTAGAATTTACCAATATTGCATTATCTAAATTTAACAACTTCCATTCTTCACATCCTCGTGTGTTCACATCCTCAAATATAATATTTATCTGTAGCTATGACTTGCATTTTATCTTATAAATGATATCTACTCCCATAGGACTGTCATATTACCATAGAAATTACCGATGTTATGTTAACTAAATTTGACATTTTCATTCCTCACATCTTCGTGTGAAATATATTATTTATGCATAACTATAATTTTTATTTTATTTTACTGAACGATAGCGATATTTTCGTAGCACTATGACATTACTGTAGAATTTACCGATATTAAATATAATATTCACATAATATTCGAGAAACGTAATATTTTCTAATAATTATAATTTTTTCTGTACCTTACCGAACGACAACATCCTCATAGAACTGTCATATTACGTTGAATCTACCGATATTATATTAATTAAATTTGACGTTCTCATTCTTCATATTCTCGTGTAAAATATAATATTTATGCATAACTATAATTTTTACTTTATCTTACTGAACGATAGCCATATTTTCGTAGCACTATCACATTACCGTAGAATTTACCGATATTATATACAATATTCATATAATATTCAAGAAATATTATATTTTCCCATAATTATAATTTTTCCTTTATCTTACCGAACGACAACATCCTCATAGAAATATTATATTACGTTGAATTTATCAATATTATATTAATTAAATTTGACATTTCCATTCTTCACATCTTCGCGTTAAATATAATATTTATGCATAACTATGATTTTTATTCTATCTTATTGCACGATAGTGATTTTCGTCAAACTATCACATTACTGTAGAATTTACCGATATTACGTACAATATTCGTATAATATTCGAGAAATATTATATTTTCCCATAATTATAATTTTTTCTTTATCTTACCGAACGACAACGTCCCCATAGAACTGTTATATTACGTTGAATTTATCAATATTATATTAATTAAATTTCACATTTCCATTCTTCACATCTTTGCGTCAAATATAATATTTATGCATAACTATAATTTTTACTTTATTTTACTAAACGATAGCCATATTTTCGTAGCACTATCACATTACTGTAGAATTTACCGATATTAAATATAATATCCATATGATTTTCGAGAAACGTTAAGACGCATTATTTTCAAATAATTATAATTTTTCCTGTATCTTACCGAACGATATTAACGAACATCCTCGTAGTACTGTCATATTATATTGAATTTACCGATATTATATTAACTGAATTTGAAATTCCATTGCTTCGCATCTTCGTGTCAAGTACATTTGCCCACAACTATAATTTTCACTTTATCTTACCCAGCGTCGCGATATTCTCGCAGGGAACATTACCCAAACTTAACACTTCGACCCTGCGTATCACCATGTCGAAAATACCATGAATCTCTAGGTACAACTTTTCTAAAACATTAAAAATTCGCATGTTAAATAACGAATCTCCATCGTAGTCGATTAATTACCCGTCGAATAACTGTCAGTTATTCGCCATAGTTCATCCAATTATCGTTTATCGTAGCTGCGAGCCGGTTCGCGCGAGGCGCTACACAAGTTCCACTCGAAGTCGTAAGTTAACAATTCTCTGTGGAGCTCGCGGTAAACCGTGCCGCTATAATCGATCTCGGGCATTAACGTTTCTACACGTCTTAAATCTTCTAATCGAGTGTGAGCGCGCGCGCGCGCGCCGCGAAGAGAACTTGGCCATAAAGATGTACGCGTGGATAGACACGGTTCGATGGAGAAACGAAAAATCTAGCCTCGGGCTTACCTCGCGTAGGCTATCCGAAAGGAGAAGAAAGTCTGGCCTGTGGACGGTGGAACGTAGACGCATCGCGGATCGGCGTGTTGGCCCTTGGACGAGACGATGCCCTCAAAGGGTTGGGAGAACGAGAGATGCACGTCCATGTGATCCTTTCCGCACATCACTTCAAGGGACTGTATGGCTGGCATTCCCTCTGGTCTTTCCAGCGGCCAAATGTCGCTGCTGCTACCAACGCTCTTCAAGCCAACCACCTGTGCATTCAACGAATACGTTTTTATACCTTGAACTCCACGACCTCTTTTCCTTTCTCACTGCAATACGCTCTACGGCTACCGTGAATGCCTTCTATGAATATCGTTCAGCTGAACACCTCGAAAGTTCCTCGAGCACGCCGCTGTTGGGGCTCGCAGGGCCATTGTATCGAAATTTATTGCAAATGTACCGACCCTCTGCGGTTTAGATCTGTATCTGACGGAAGTACCCTTCAGTTGAATATCGTTAATCCGGCAGATGCGAAATTATAAAGGGCACTTCCGCGGCGTTGAATATACGTGTTATTCAAGGTACTGATCATTTGAATCCGTGGAGTTGTAGATAAGTAGCTTCGACGGCTCTTTTATTCCCAAATTACTGATATTCCCTATTTTATTCTAGGTTATATTAGTGTATTGTAATATTAATATGGTATTGGTGTTTGGACGGCTATTTTATCCTTAAATTAGTGATATTCTCTATTTTATTCTAAATAGTTTCGGTGTCTTACAATAATAATATAGTATTGATGTTAGTATTATTATTACTATAGTATTAGTAGTAGCGTATAGTATTAATAATACCCAATTACGATATAGCGCTATAACAGTGTTATTATAGCGTTATGGTAGACTTATTATAGCATTATTGCAGTATTATTATATTAAGTATTATTAATATAATATTATTGCAGTATTATTGTAGCATTGCCATAATATTACTATATTATAACATTTTTATTACTAACATTTCACGACATAGTAGGACCTGCTGATTTATTAAATGATTCAACAAATTAAGAAAAATAGAGGAAACGATATCTCGTCGATTAATTTGTTCAAAATTATTTTATATGCGTACATAAATTAAACTAATTAAGCGTCCTATAAGCGTGTTAATTTGGGCTTACAATTAGATTTATTAACTCAACCACGTGTGTCCCCGTTTTATATTCTTATTTCTTCATCTTAAATTGGATATAATAAACATTTAATTACTTAAATACTCGTACAGTCGAACTTAATAACCGCTCATAATGATTGTTACGTTCCGGGTATTAATATCCTTTATGGCAAGACAAGAAGATCGCAACAGTTATATTTTCTATAAACTATCGATAAGTCTTACGAGACGATTACTGTGCGATCGTAAAAAAAAATGAAAAAAATTATTAGTTAAGTGGCAGCTTACTCTAAATAGAATTTTTAACGATGTAGTACCTTGCTCAGGAAATTTGATTGAATAATAGAACGGTAAGAGTTGCGGTATAGTTACCTGGATGCATAACCGTTATGAAACTTTTACAGTGTCAGTGATGCTCTGAGACTCGATAAAGCGATATTGCAAATGTTATTTGTTTAATAAATTTTACTTATTTACCAAACGTTGCTTATTTAGTAAATTTTAGTTACATTTGTAACGAATGAGAAGAAACCGGATTGAAAATTTATTACTATGTAATTCTCACTAAAATATTGTTAAAAATCAATAATTTCGTAACCAATTTAAGATTTATCGAGAAAACGCTATCTATCGTAATTAAGTTAAGGCAAACGTGATATACGATATCGCGAAAACAAACATAAATATGTCTATTAAATATTAACGCAAACTAATTATTATATCTCTTATTCTACATATCGTTTTAATACACGAAGCTTCTTTCTATAGAATATCTTGACAAGGTACTATATACATCCTTCCACGTATTAAGATCGCAATCAAGGTGGAATAAAAGTGGAAATAAAACATTCGATAACCGAGTGCAATAAAAACGATCGAAGATTGAAAAAAGTTGGCGATACGCCATTACGCGATTACTTAATTAAGGCTAACGATATCTGCACGAGTCTCAATTACGGTAAAATATTCGAGACATCTGAAATCGCGCGAAACGGATATTTAGCAGCAGTTACACGAACGATCTATCCTTCATTGCGCGTACCGTTCTATGCATGGAGGTACCCTGTCGCGAACCGTGAAGTTATGATGGTTTATACACCTACTACAAGCCGTCGCTACCATGTAGGTCAACCAGGGATGAACAGCGGGAAGAACGAATACAAGCTGTGCAACGTGTACTTTATGACCGACCGAAAAAGTTTACCCGTCTTTGAAATCTCTGTTACCGACCGAGCGGAGAGCGAACAAGATGTAAATCTTTCGTCGCGTACAATATCGCAAATCGTAAGACCTTTCCGCGGCTACATTTCCTGGACAAGTGCCTCTATAACGAGACTTATCCCCTCGTATCTATAATTTCGCAATTCTCGTATCTTTATTTTCACTCGCCGGGCATAATTATACCATTAGGTTTATCGTAAATTACTACCGGCGCGTCTAACCTCACATTCTTTCCCGATCGTAAATTCCGCGAAACGAGTGAACGATAAGTAAATAGACGTTCCGTGCATAGAAGCAATCGTGTGGCTCATCTATCCTTACTTATTCGAATATTAAGTACGGTAAAACACAGTGATGTTCTCATTACGGTGATCCAGGACTTTTCACATGCAACAGCGTGTCGCGAATCACAGCGGCGGTATATCGCAGAATACAGGTACGTAAAATCGCAGGCGTATAGGCCGTGGGAGATTAGGCGTGTATGTGCCGTGGATTTCTAGAAATCACGTTCAGCCTGCATTCTTCGCGTACGGCTTTGGGCGTATTACTTCGAACGCGTGGCAGTCGCGGCGTTGCTCGGGCCACAGAGTCCGCAGAAAATCTCAGCGACACGTACGCGTAAGTGAGCATCTTTGAAGGAAGGTGTTCCCCGCGTATATACCGTGCTCGCGCAATGCTGTAACGGGAGAGGCGTCTTTACCGCTGCATTAACGGTCGCCGTTTTTCGTGCAAGTGAAAACAAGTTCTGCGCTCTTACAATCGCACTGTTAAATGACAACGTTTCATTAGAAATGATTACGCACCTGGTATACGCGGGCTACGCGCTTGTGTGCGCTGCGTGCTCTCGTGAACGAACGAGCGAGCGAGCCTCGTTTTTCTCTCTGCGTCATTTTGCTCCGATGCCTCGGTTCGTGCTTGATTCTCCATTCAGAATCGATAGTTTCGCGATGAAGTCTTTGAGATATCTTTCGGGAATGTCGTTGAGAAGTGTGTAATGAATGACAATGGACGACAATGAATGGCATGGGGAATGAATTGCCTGGATAGGTTAGACGTGGCTCGGTATAGGTTAGCTTTCCAATGTGCATATGCTGTTATCGGTGTTTGATTGCAAGGCTGGAGAGGAGAAAACGTATGCAATTTTGTACTAGTATACGGGTATAGATGTATATAGAGTGATTCATTCAGAGTTGCCAATGAAAGTGGTAGTGGAATAATTTCATCGAGTAATTTCAATATGAGATTATTTAGAGCAATGAAAATTGTTGACATATTTTAAATTCAGTTCTACGAAAATTATAAAATATGGCGATTTATATAGTTTCGTTGAGTAATTTAACCACGAAATTTTTTTAGAATAATGGAAATCGTTGGAATATTTTAAATTAAGTTCTAGGAAAATTTGTAAATTATAGAATTTAATCATTTATGCAGTTGACTAATTAAAAATTAGAAAATTATAGAATATAATTATTTACATAGTTAACTGATAAAACCATGATATATTGTATTAACATTTCTATAGTCAACTGATAATATCAATATTATAATTAATTCAAAATCTAGCTATATTTAGATTTAAAATAAATTTTTAATATAAACTATTAATCCTTAGTAACTTGTCATTTTTAAAAATAATTATACAGTGACTATTAATTGCTGTATTTGTTTTAATTTAAAGATGCAAACATGCACAAAAAGATGTAACTAAAATTTATTCATACTTTTCATTTGGAATATTCATCCTGATTCTCATTACTATGGTTTTTAGAATACATTTATTATTCGTAAGAAATTATAATGATGGATTAATTTGCATATTCATCTACTAGGGAACACGTGTTTAGAAACCGGATTTCATTATGTTGATGATCTTACTAATAAACAGATTAGTATTTTTTGTTATTTTATTATGCTGACGTCATTATCGAGGAACATATTTTCTATTTTTTAATTAAATTCACCAATTCGTGATAAATATTCCGTATTATATTGTATTCGTTTGTTAGAATTAGAGCGGAGAGAATTTAAAGATCGCGCTTTTTAAACATACAAATAGAAAAATACTTTTGGAACGTGGATACTTAACTATGAAAATTTGAATTATTAGTACAAGCAACTATTAGGAGGAATAATATCTTTCTGATAACCTTTGTTATGTGTTAAACACATTCTACCTATATTTTGAATTCTAGAATTACTAATATAACGTTGTATATATATTTGAAATTATAAAATTATCGATATGAATATTACAAATGTAAGAATGATAAAGTATAAATATTTTAAGTATATGTAGAATTGCAAAATTAATAATATAAATATTGTAAATATATTAATTACAAAATCAATAATACAAATATTGCTAATATATTTAGAATTGTAAAATTACTAATATAAATGCTACAAATATGTTGCTAATAGTAAAATTAATAATATAAATATTGCAAAGATATTGGTAATAGTAAAATTATTAATATAACTATAGCAAAAATATTTATAATTAAAAATTGAATATTAAAAATACTGTAAATATGTTCCAAAAAAATAAACAAAAATTTGAAATTAACATTCTTAATATTATAATTAAATATTCATTGGTAATAGTAAAATTGATAATATAAATATAGCGAAAATATGTATAATTAAAAATTGAATATTAAATATAATAAATTTGTTCCAAAGAAATAAACAAAAATTTGAAATTAAATATTCAGAATTGGAAAATTAATACCACGAACATAACTATACTACCTATAATAATTATTGCACAACCTCGCAAATCTGTCAACATAACCTCACATTGTCTTAAATATCATGGCAAAATAAGTACCAAATATAAACTACAATACGAGTATATAATAATATAATATACGGTATATTTTATACAATAATATAAAATACGGTATATTTTTCCAAAAAACCAATTTCTTCGTATCAGCGATAACAAAATGAAAGCAGTGGAAATAAGAGGATGAAAAGTTTCGCGAGGTCCATATTCTTTACTCGGTCATCCATCAAGGAGAAACAATGCGTTCATGCTTCCGAACGTGAAATGTATGGCAAACAGTATTTATATTATGCGCTATAGGCGGAAGCAATTCGCGGGATATAGGCTTTACGATTCCACGGCAGTTCGTTATAACAGCGAATGTATCGGTATTCCGAGTTACTCGAACGTGAGGCACGCCGGTAGGTGAGTTTCCCATCGCGGCTCTTCTGGCGTTCGAATACTAATGCCCGTCTCTGTGTACCCGATTGTACTCCTCGTGACACGCGGAAATAGCTTCCTCTGTATTCGTTTATGTGCTCCCTCTCTGCCCGAGACGAGTAACTATTTCTTCGCGTCACGTTCTTTTGAGTAGGCACCAATAAAGACTTCGGTGGTCGCTTGTATTTGAAGTTCCTCTTTTAAAACTTGCGTACTGTCGCGCCACGGACAAAGGCAAAAGATGAATGGTTATGCAGCTTTTTGCGGTACTTATTCTAACAGCAGTTAATCACCGATGGATGGATCGGCAATATGTTCGAGGACTTGTTTAGAGGTTAACAGAAAAACCGATTTTCAAATTCCAATGTCATTTTATCCAAGATTCAATCGAGTCGAGATATGAATGCCGGTATAAAGGTTCTTTATTTTTGTAGGTTAGGAGCACTACTGGGAACCTCCATTTGCCTTTTGTTTTTAATCTCGACTAACGAATTCGACTTACGTAGTGTATTCATAGCAGAAGTATTTATAGAAAAGTGCTACTGGTTTCTGCAAATTTGAATTAAATTGTTATTATAAAATATCTAGCGATTAAATTGGTTCGTTAAATTCTTAGTTATTTTTCATTATTTATATCATCTTTCATATTTTTACCGTGTTATTTATATTGGAATAACGCGTTTCTTAATTTCTTTTCCTTTTTTGAGTGTAATTAATTGGAGACTACAAATTAGATAGAGAGAAGTAATTAGAATTGAAAAGTAATTAGAAAGAACATAATTAGAACCAAAGAACGGATAAAACGGTAAAAATAAACAGTAGTATTTTTGGTATTTTTGTAGAAAAAGGTTATTAGAAAAATTGTATGAAAATATCGTAATAAAATTAATGATCAATTAAAGTTGCTTATGCAATGAAAAATAAAAAGACTAGCATCTGTTTTATGTGGAACTATTTATATAGCAACGAGATCAATGAACTTATAAGATGTTGTTTTATGTATGATAAACAATAAAAGATATTTATTTATTTATATCTCTTAATTAGAATTAAATAAAAATTCGTTCTCTATAACAAACGTAGAATTTTTCCAGCTTCCTTCACAAAATTCTTCGGTATTCTAATTACCAATTTTTAATTAATTTTTTTTTACTATTGTTTATCTAGTTTCTGTGTCTTTTTAAATTTATTTTATTAGAGAAAAGCAGTTCTTTAGTTTTTGGTTTATGGAAGTCAGTGTAACCTATATTACTCTGATGCTTGTTGATGTTCAAAACGATACTTTATCTCATAAACAAATAAATCCTAATCCTCCAGAAAGGAAAGCACCAAATTTTGATTTAAAACGTGCATATGATAATCGAATCAGGACATATATATGTTGACAAATAATCACTATATTGGATTGTGAAGATAATAATTAAGATTAATTTTAGCATTCGGTTAAGCATAAAAGCTTGAGCGTTTCAGTGCTTCGAAATAATAATTTGTAAAATAACACTAACTCTTAAATCTTCTTTTTCATAGCGAATCATCTCATACTCTCAGTTTCGCTATTATCTATACACCTACTGAGAAGAATTAATAAAGAAAGTAAAGACTAGGAAATTTTTCCATAATACGTCTTAAAATGAAAAATAGGACGAAGAGATAACACTGTGTACATTGGTAAATAGTAAATATTTCCTTTGTCAGTAATTACATAAATTTACTTGAACCGAGTAATTTATTTTTCATTTCTCAAAGTAGACTAGTTCCAGCACGTTCTATCTCGAGCGCAAAGCTTTCCTTTCCCACTGGGCAGAAAATGGGAATAATTGAAGAAAATTATTGCGATAGCCGAGCAGGCGGTAGTATAGGATGAAGTGGAAGGAAATCATCGATGAGTACACGCGGCGTTTCCCGGGATGAATATAGAAATCCGCGAGAGCGAGCAGCGTGGATACGGAAGCGCATAAATTTACAAGGAGCAAGCACGCGAGAGGACGACGCATTTCCTGCGCGAAACCGCAATAAGAGATTTCACTCTGCAGAGGCAATAACGTCGTGGGGGCAATAGGTTGTGCAGGGGTCCTGAATAACTTTCAGAGGAAGCAGGTGCAAGGGGAAAAGGAGGAAAAGAAGGTCGTAAGATACGGGTAACGGTACCTAGAGTAGGCACGAATATCCGCTTGCAAGATGTCGCGTCTCTTGCTGCGTCATCGCATTGTCATCCAACTGTGACGAATTTTTCATTAAGCGTCATTTCGTAACGATCATCACGGGCACGAAGGTGAACAGCTTTGCAGCTTCTCTCCCCTTAGGCTCGATTCCTAATTTGCTAGCGGGCACCTTCGCTACCTTTAGGGTCCGGCTACCGTGCCCGTTAGCCTTTAATTAAGGGATCTATGAGTAACGCGGCGTCAGCAAACACGGTTTGCTGAAATTATAGCCCATTATCGGAATTGGTGACCGTGGTTCGGCCTGTTCTCGAGCTTAATTGGCTTACAAAAGGAATGGCTAGCAGATAAGAGACAACGTGCGAAGAGTCGTGTGAATCGTTTGGCGGTGTAATAGCTACAGGATTATGTACAAGTATTCCAACTATGCGTGAGCCAATGTAATTTAATAGTATCCGCAACACGTTTTTCATCTTCACACTCTGATAACTTACTCTCCTTGTCTAATGGCTCTATGCAAATCACGCGTGTGTGTGTAAACTTTGGCTCGATACGAAGTAATCGGGCAAGATATTACACGTTGTTCCGTCTTCCTATCGATCTCTGTCCTTCGTCGTACCCCGGATATCCAATGTTTACTTCGCGCGCTCTAACGCTGCAACTAACGAATCAATCGAAATCCCTCCTTTCCCGATTTTTATTTTGCCAGTTATTGAAAATATTCCAAGCACGTGATTAATTACAGAATATTATAAAACATATATATCCCGTTTTAGTTAATTCAAGCGTTAATAACATTTTCGTTGATATTCAGCTGAAAGTTGTTCTAAAATGTCTTCCTTTTTGACCCCTTTCGTTAGCGTAACTTTCCCATTCAAACGAACCAGGATGTAAAATATTCACGGGACTGAAAAGTATAAATCGCGAAATATTGCAGCAAGTGTTACAACAAGTCATAAAAGAAAAATACGTCTACACTGAAATTTTCTCCCGACGTATAATCTTTACGCGTAAACGTATGCATTAGACGTTGATCCTCGTTTTGCCTTCATTATTCACTCGAGCAAGTTTAATAATCGTTTGTACATTATGCGAGAAAGTAGCATACTTTCGGCCGTATGTTACACAGCTGCTTATTATTTGAGCCATTGGATAGCCTTTGAACCGGAAGTTCGATCACCTTTGCTCGACCCGCTTGTACATAACCATTTATCAGAATCGTAATCGAGATGTCTAAATAACGACTATACACAGAGTCCGTATACAGGCTGACCGAATTGCGTTATCCACGTGGATTTATTCCCGTTGATATCGGTTTGCCAATCTTATGGGAGAATCCTCGTACATAGATATATATATATAGTAATCGGTGTATCTCTCACCATATAGATCAGCATACGTAGCAACCTGCACACCCCTGGCATCCTGGAGGTCCCAGCCTCTCACGATGAGACACGCTTTCCTGGAAAAAGAAGTTTTGTCGTTAGGGTACTGATCCATTGTAATGGTATGCAAGCGAGCTGACTGGAAAAGGAACCTGCAGCCGGATCTATTTTAATTTATCCGACCACCATGGTCTAGCGAGCAAATTAACTGAACACCGTCCGTCAGGTCGCGGTTCGAATCCCAAGGAGGTCTGAGCGCAAAATTGATTTGCCGAGAGAAATCATGGTTATGGGGTTTCGAGCGTGCGCGTGCTCGATCCGTTCTGTAGAATCAGGATCCGCGACGTTTACGATCAATTTCAGATAAACAAGATTGATTGATTTCGTCATTGTCTTTCCCATAGACACTTTAACGCTGACCCTTTTAGGACTTATTACGTATTATACCCGTCCAGGACTTATTATAATCGGTAATAAACATTCCGTCGGTGTGACGAATTTCAACATTAGCCGTGTTTCTTTCGTTTCGCGTGCTTTTCTCACGTATTTCACGCAACAGTGGTATCTCGTCCATAAATCTCGCGTCTGTTGATGCACCATCGATACAGGTATTAAAGAAGCATTGAAATCAGCGAGTGATGAATGTGGCAAATGACTGCCGGGTAACGAGTTTCGTCTATTTTCGTGGCAGCGTTTCTATTCCCATTCTTGATTAGCCATTGACCTATCCGATGATTATCATCGTTGAACTGTTACACCGATTCGATCGAGAGCGTTGTCTTCGATCGGCTGAAAAGAAGGATGCTTAAAATCGAGCGTGGGAGGGAGTTACGACTAGTTTGTTTTGTAGTTCGTGCCTGACCCACTTAGCGGCGCCGCTTTGTTAGCTCGGATGTAGTCGAAACGGAGTCGCTAATGAATCGATAAGCGATACGTTACCGGTCCGGCCAGTTCCCCGTTTCTTCCGTCATCTTTCTAATACAGCTTTTGCGTACAGTAAATCTGCCAGGGTGACCAGTATTTTGCTCCGTAATGATATATCGCTCAGCCATCCGCGTCACCTTCGGACGGAAATAAATGGACGAAAGGAAATGATAATTGCGGGGAAGACCGATCTTCTTCTTCTGTTTTTGTCTGCCACGTAATTCTAATGGCCGGCGATAAATATGTAGGTAAAAGAAACGTGTGATTCAGCGATCGGTAACTCGCACGGATTTGTGTTCGACAACCGTTGATCGATTTCAAATTTCAATTTCATACCCGGGAAAATGAAAGACAAGTTAAAGCGATATAGGCACGCAGGATTAAAAGGAAAATAAAAGGATGGCAAGATAAAAATAAAATTAACGATCGCATACCCAGACTGAAACCTGTTCTCCGCAACCATTCATAAAACTCGACGACTGTGGTCCGTTTTCGCGGTAAGCCATTTACGAGTAGCTTAAACCGATGGATTTTGACGTTATATTTTGGCGGTGTACATCAATCGTTCGCCGTATAATGGGCCAACCGTCGATGATTCCGCGATTAGCTTTACGATTGTCGCGAGATTCGATAATAAGTTTTTAGCCAGCGTTGCGTCACGATTTCGCTTCGAGCTAACTCAACGAGTGCCAGCAGATTTGCGGCTCATTGGCTCTCTGCCGTTCCTTTTTTGCCAGATTAAATGCATCGCTTCGCCAAGGTTTCAATTCACAGCGATCGCCTTACAGCCTCGTTCTCTTAATAACCGAACAGTTGCGACGATACCACTGCTCCGAGCGATTTATTCTCTCTTCGTTTCGACTTCGCCCTATCTTCGTCCATCGTTTCCATCAACGATCGTCCGACAACGAGCAGTCCGTCTTTTTTACGGCTCGGCTTTAAGCCTTGTCTCGTTCACGTAGATTACTAATCAGCAAATCCTCGTCTTTCCTTTTTTCGGCCTTTCGTCGCTTCCAGCTTCCCAACTTCCGACATGCCGAATCTTTTTTCCCCCATGAAATTTCATTTTGACAAGGGCGCTGTTTTTATCGAAGTCTCGGAATCGAGCAAACGTTGCCTTTTGGAAACGCTGCTTAAACGAAATAACCGCGATTCGACCTGCTCCATTTTTTGCACCCTCTTTGCTTTTTCTACGCGTTTCGATACGATTCATCGATCACATACGAGCTCTTTCTCGTTTTCGTTTCCAACCTTGCGGAACCTAACCTTGCTTCTCCCTCGTTCCATCGCCGGCGTGTGTTTACTATTTCAAACGTAACCGCGAACTTATTTAAGTTCCGCGACGGATACGCTTTTGAGGTTATGTCGCCGCGCGATAGAATTGCCTCCGTATCGTCGATAACGACGCGATATATTTTCGCTTCGGAGAGAAGGAGAGAGCACGGAAATAGGGAGAGACATCGCGACGCGTATTTTATTACGGAGTGACAGCGTAGGCGACATCGAGTTGTCGATGTAAGCGCGAAAGCGTGGCGCAAAAGGAAGAGCTAGACTCGACTGCTAGTTCGCAGCGCGGCCGCGCGCGGCGCTGCTACGCGGTCGTTAATCAAACTTGAGTTCGCAACTATGTTGCACGCGCAAGTGGCACGTTGCAGATTACGAATAATTGTTAAACGTCAGTAACGCTGGCGAACGAACGCGTGTGGTGCGTGTCGAGTAAGATATTAAGGACGCTGTATCGTCAGGCATATTTAATTAACGCAATCTCGAACGCTTGCGAGGAAAATAATTGTCGTTGCGATTGATTTGGATTTCTGTTAGCAATTACAAGTGCCTGGTTAATGACTCGTAGTTATCCCGTGGTTATTCTTCCGAAACGATCGGTGAAAATGGACTCGATAGGCGCGAGAGTGGCGTGAAATGACATGCACAGGAATCGGATTAAACTATAGATAACGATTTACTTCCTTCTCGAAAATCTCTTTCCTTTTTCCCTTTCTTCAAACGTATCGCGTATCTTTATCAAACGCGAGTTGAAACCGAACGTGAAGTCGAAGGTGAGTGAGAAACGCATTTACAGGAAACGGTAGGAGTATACGGAGATACGTATGAATGAGGTTCTAAACACAATTCGTGGAAAATGTTTTTACCTGGTGAATTTTAATTGGGCTACTTCTGCGAACAGGAAATGTTAATTGACTCATTATAACGAAGGTATAAAAGCAGCCTGACCTATATACATACATATTCTGCGTACCCCAGATCTCGAACGCTGTTTGAAAATCAGCCACACGATTGATCGACACGAGTACCCTTTAATCCTAGCACGTTTACGAGGTAACTCGCGCATATAAAAGTTGGAAGCAAAACTATCGTCGACATGGCTACGATCGCTTCTGTCCGCGATGTTAACCGCTGTTGTAACCATTATCTTCGGTACTGTTATTACAGTGCAACTGCTGTTCTCGCGTTTGTCGCGTACTATAGAACGCGAGGTTCGGTCGTGCGGCCGGTAGAGGGACACGGGGAAAATCGAGCATTTCGTGTCCCATCGATCGTTGGTGGTTTAAACGGTAGAACGAGATACAGATCGCCACGCGATTGCTCCCGGATACACGTTGGTTCAAGTAAATTCCTATTGCGGGTCGTTCTACGATTATTGCCCGCGAGGTTATGAAAAATCGTGGATACGGAACGCAGAACGCGCGAAACGTAGGTTTGGCGTATCGGAGGGGCGCGCATGCGTGGAAAGTTTTTCGCGGAGGTCGCCTGAAAGATAGGCGAGCTAGACATTCTTGGAATGTCTGGAAGTCGGAATGCTTCGGAGGATCAGTTACGGGCTGTTCGTATCGCGGTAACGGTGTCCCCAACTTACCACTTCTGGGATTCGCCGGATAGATCCCACACTAATAATTTCACCGTGGCATCCTTTCATGAGACCCCGGCCACGTCCTTTCCCAGACGATTCTCTATTTCATCGGCCGCGGGATCCGCGGACGAAACCGGACGCGAGCTGCGTGCACGCGTGCCGCGCCGCGCGGTCATTTGTCTTCGCGAATAAATCGTCCTGCAAATCTCTTGATCGCGTTAGTTATGCCGCGAGATCGGCTCGTTTGCTGTTATGCAGCTTAATCCCGCGTCGCGTTAGAACACCGTAAAATAGCCGCTTTATTAGCTAGATATTGAAACATATAACCAATGATACCTCGCGTTTTGCCTCTATATTTATCTCCTATCCTGTGCAAAAACCATCCAATGCGTTTAACGTTTTTCCTATTAAAATTGCCTTATCGTTGGTTAAAAAAGATCTTATCGCTGTTGCAACTGACAATTAGATTTGCGTGAAATGGAGATTGACGGTAATACGAGAGCAAAGTTATGGCAGCTGCAGATTGTTGGAGAGAATTTTTAGGTGGCAGAGATTCAGGATATTCCTGTCTTGGAATTACGATGATTCAAGGATGAAAGCTTTTAAACAGATTCTAGCAATATCTCGGTGTCGCTAATACAATCGTAATGCGCTTTCACGTTGGTTCGCTGTAAGCTTCTTAAGTTATTCTTATCGGGTTAGGAACAGTTTTCAGAAATTGGATTTGCTGGCTGAAACGAAATTTTTTAAGTCGGTATAAGCATTTGAATACGTCTTCGAATACTATCGTGTCAAGTTTTCCATTTTCATCCTCAATTTTAATCGGTTCGATATGAAATTGCAAATGGTAATTATATCCATGAAAATAATATATAAAAATATATATCCTTTTATAGTTATTCAATTATTTCGTCGGATTTCGCAAATACGTATATTAGAAATAGATTTTAATATTTATTATTTGTTATTTGCAACAAAATATTGAAAACTTACATACAGAACAGTTAATTTAATTTTGTTCAATATCGAATGATAAATAATAATACTAATAATAATATATAAATATTATCATCTATAAAGTATAAAAATATATAAAGTAAAAATAATATATAAAGTATAAAGTAAATAAAAACTTATATCCAGAACAATTAATTTAATTTTGTTCAATATCGAGTGATAAATAATAATACTAATAATAACATATAAAGTATATTATATAGTATAGCTATTTATATTATAATATTTACACAAATC